TCCTCATCCCCCTCCCCCAAACCTTCCCCTCCCCAAACCTTCCTCTCCCCTCCCAAACCCTCCTCGACCCTCCCCTCCTCTCCCCTGCCTGCAGCCACGGGATGCAGCCGCTGCCCACTGGTACCCCGGTAAATACATTATCGTTAAATATTGCCACCGGTCAATAAAGGGTAGCAGGGGGTGGCCGGGGGGAAATGCAGTGGAAGTTCAGGGTTGGTGGTCTCAGACCCCCCAGTGCCTGGGTCTGACAAAACCAGAGTTATGCCTGTGCTGTTAAAGATGCTCAGCCTTGCTTGAGGTGCTCTGTGTAACTTCCTAACTCCTGTAATGCTTCTCAGGCACTTTACCATCCCAAATGCATACCAGTAAAGCCCACCTGCCATGCCACATTATAAAGATTATGTGGAGAGTTCTGTTTTTTAAAAATAAATTATTGGAAATGGCCTAGGGCGTGCCTCTCCCGTGCTGTTAGCCTCAGCTACTTACTACCAACTTCACTCCTCCTGAGTCAGCTTACTGAGAGGGGCACACTCTAAAATAACACTGGAGCAGAGCAGCAAGATCAGGCTCAATGACAGAGGAGCAGTACACTGATGCACTGGAGCACTCTCAGGACTCAAGCCTTAACTCATTCCCTTGGACAAGACACTCACCTCAAGTGCAGGTGACTTTTTAGTTTGAGTCAGGGCCAAATTTCAGGTATACTGTGAGGCAGCATTGCAGTGTAACAGCACAGTGTTGACTGGAATTACCAGTCAGTGCCTTGAATGTGGTATATTCATGATACTACAGCACCATACTCAGTCAACAAGCCCAGTAGCAGTAGTGAGCTAGATGCCATGGTGTATTAATGCATCTGGTATAGGCTTGATCAGGGATAATGATAACTTGTGTATATCAAGCATGTATCTCACTAGAGCCATCTATAGCAATGAGTCTAAACTCTCTTAAAAATGAAAATATTACAGCTTTGATAGCTCAGACTGTTTCTAAGCTAAGAAGCATGAGTTGAAAATTTGAGAATTCCATCTTTCAGTGAAATGAAGATCCCATTTACTGTCTGTGGTTGGATTCACATTTATGCACTAGCAGCCTTGATTCTCCACTGGATGGTAAGTAGTCATGAGTCCAATGTAACCAACCAGTTAAGTTGTAAAACAGCTTAACCTAGTGGCTACAAATGTAGAATCCAGGGAGGACTGCAGCAAGCAAAAGTTGTCAGTGATAGCCAGAGTATGACAGAAACACTTTACACTCCAATTATTCCCAGCTGAAACAGTAGTCCAATTAAAGTTCTGGCCAGTTAATTGCTAAGTAATGGCATTCTTAATTACGTAAGGTGCTGGACCAGAATCCAGACTTGCCTAAGTTTGGCAAAGACATCTCTACCCTGCTGTAATGTCTCTATTCCTTCACTGGCAGCAAGTCTGGCCTGTAAAGCACAAACACAATTAGATTCCTAAATCCTGGCTCCTATTGCAACTTGCCTGTGACCTGCTAAATAATAGTTTTCATCTTTTATAGATTACGTGACCATAAATCAGCCAGGAACATATATGTACCAGTTATCCAAAAAAGAAAAAAAAAAACCCTTACCATACAATCAAGCAGCTTTTCTCCTACCTTGTCTCTGCAATCCTTACATGATCAGAAAGATCCCTTTGCGTCAATGTTTTGAGAAAACTTTCCTCACTCTCCTCCTGTTACCATTTCTTTGCCTCCCTGTCTCTTTTCAAGTCATCAACTTTTGGCTTCACTTCCTAGAGGTCAATCCCTTTCTATCAGAAAATCTTGAGGCACCCTGAGCAATACCATTGGTAGAGGAAAGCAAAAGTCCCTGAAACTGCTGTTACAGAATCAGTCTGGTCTGGTGGTGGCAATGAAAAAAAAAGTGGAACTCCTCTTTCCCCTTCCAAAAGTTTTGCAAATGAGGTGATCTAGCTGGGGAGAGGACCCATCCCTTAAATGATAATATTGCAAAATATGTATATTTTGAAGTCAAACAGCAAAAGGCATTACCTGGTTGGGATCCTGAAGTCTACATTGGGTCCCAATTTATAAGCCACTTGTAGAGAAGTGGAGCCTGCTACTCTCTGGATAATTCCTTGGGAAGCAGCTTTTTCTATCTGGAACTGAGAAATCAGGTCAAAGCCTACAAGAAAAAACAATGTCCAGAATGTAACTTTCATTTTAATTTAATTAGGGAACTGTAGTCACAGAGCTCAATATAACCTGATAAAGTTTCTGAACAACATTTTTTTTCCTGAAAAAGTTGGGATACTACTTGCCTGGTAAGTCATCTTGGCCAATCCTGATTGTTGGGCAGAGATCGGTTCTCCGACTGGCACCCAGAATGACTGGTAGTCCTGCAAAAAAGGGTGAATTTGTTGACCATGTGCCTGCATGTTGCCTCAGATCACCTTAAAAAGTTAAGTGAAGCAACTGTAAGAATATTATGAATTAAATAGAGCTATAAATAATAAAAATTAGATATATATAATAATCAATTTAAACTGTACTCAGTGGAGTCAGAGGTCTGAAAAAATAAGCATCTGTTTCTAGAGAGCTCCAAATTTAAAATTATAACTTGACTGATTATTTGATTTTTTTTTTAAAGCCTTTAAATGAGAGTGTTATAATAATTCTTCTCTTGCAGAGCTATGGAGAAATAGTTGTAGCATAAGAAGGCCTGCTGTGTAAGGAGGTTTGGGGTTGGAACTTTTGGTGGTTTAAGCAAACTTTGAAAAAGAAGCCAGTTACCTAAATCAACAGCCTCCCTAGTCCCAAGGAAACTTAAACAAACCTCATGCCAACTAAAGAGACTGTTGAGAAACTGTTGGCATCTTTTCCATCCTCTCTGGTATTCCAGGTGTTCCCACCTTCCTCTGTGCCACATTTGATCAGAGAATGATCATTCATGAAATATGAAGAACTTACAGACCTTTTTTGTTGACCCAGACAAGAATGTAGAAGAAATTTGTTGGAGGAAACCAAATTAAAAAATCTCATTTTTCAGAGTATTATCTGTCAAAAAGCCCTGTAATGAGCATGAAAACCTACCAGATTCCTCTAATTTAAGGAAGGAGGAAGAAAAATAAATATTTATTTGAAGAGTTTAAGATTCATGTACAAGTCCAGTGTCAGGTCAATCTGGAAAACGTTAGTAGAGTGTGGATGGGGAAGAATGAAGCGTGCAAGTTGGAAGGAGATGCATTTCTAATGTACAGAGAGCCTCTTGTGTGCTGCAAGGGCTCAACCATAAATGTGGGTTTCCTTCTGACAACATAGACTTAAAGGGAACATTCAGGTTGACACATTACACCTTAGAAACAGCCTCATTCTATATTATTTGATGGAACATATGGCTGACATCCAGCCATTTACATTTTATGCCCAGCAAATAAAGTGGAACCTTTTTGTTGCCACAGGTAGCAGAAGAATATCTAACTAGAAGCACTGAAAGATGCAGGGAGGTTTGTGTCCTGTATCTACCACCTATATCCAGATTTTAATCCTTACCTTAAAAATATATCTACTAGTGAGCTTAAAATAGCACACACAGCTCTTGCTTTTTCTCCTCATTCTCTTATATGTATATCCATACATACGCATAGACAGTTCTCCCTTTCAGTGATGGCTAGCTAGAGAGGATTTTAGATTTTTATAAGCTCAGAATAATTCTTTTGACAGTCAACATTGCAGAAAGATGAAATACAGATAAAAGCTGTCTCCTTACTTGATTGTTGCTGGATGGTGGCTGAGATGAAAGACCACAGAAAACTACACACGTAAAAGAAAGCTGTAATTTTCCTGTAAACAGAAAGAAAACTCCAGTATGAATGTATAGTTTCTGACAGATTCTGTTATTGAGTTTCTCCTCAGAGCTGTCCATATTAAATGAATAAAAAACCAAGTTAAGGATTTACTAACAGATTTGACAAGACAATTTCTTTACATGAGAAATTTTCATCTTTGCCTTGTAATAAAACTTGTCAATAAAGCTCTTTCTATTACCATTTCCTTCGTATAATGGTGTCGTAAAACCAAACAACAAAGGTGGCAGAAGGCACAGACAGCTTTCACTGTTCTAATCTCATACTTACATATTTCTCTAAATCCCACTTGTTCTCTTACCAGTTACGTTTCATCTTCACTGCTGGCTTTCTTCACTTCTCTCATGTGAATACGCGGTGTCTATAGTCACACTCTCTGCTTCCCTCTCATCAGTCCTGTAGAGGAGAGGGGCAGTGGGTGCAGGCGGCTCCTCCTGCCCCACGAAGGACCCAGCAGGGAGGGGAGTGAAGGCTGCTGGGTCTGTTTTAATCTTGCAAAGGGAAGGAGGTGGAGGCTGAACGGACATGTGTGTCCTGGCAGGCTCTGAGGGCGGATCTCTGGAGCCCGTTTAATATAAAGAAGCCAACAGAGCAAAGAAAAGGCTGCTGCTTGTGCCAGCATCAGGGCAGGGAAGTTAAGAAAATGTCAGTTCAGCAGTGCCAGCCACTGAGCGGCGGGGGCGGC